CCCCGCTGTGCCAGGAGCTTCCCTCGCATGTTTTATGGGGTCTGAGGGCAGCAGGGGCTCCACGGACAGCCCAGCTCAGCCCTAAAGCGCTGCCCTCCCTCCTTCCTCCCCCACCACCCCCTTACTGGGGAAATGCATCCTCCCAGTACCGCTTTGGCAGTGGGCTACGGGTTGTTTGGGATGGACCCGAATCCCCACGGTGCAGGACGGGGTCCTCGGGGTGAGCTCGGAGCTGCCCCGATCCTGAACAAACCCCTGGCAGCAAGAGGGGCTGGGACACCCCCTGTGGGGCCAGCCCCATCATTTGCAGGTAGCAGGGCCGATCCCAAAGCTTCATTTCCTCACCCAAATCCCCTCCCCAGCCTCCCCTCCGCAGCCTCGCTGCCTCCCCCTCGCACCCCCAGCCCCAAGGCGGCACCGTGGCACCGCTGCCACTTCGTGCCCCTGGGGCACCGGCTGGGACCGCGGAGCTCGCTGGGTGCAGAGCTCCTCAGGCCACGTTTCGGGGCCCTCCAGCACCTCGCAGAGCTGCTTGGCCTCCGCTCGGTTTCCTAGGGAAACCAGCCTGGAGCTCAGCTCAGCCTCCGCACACGTGGGCGTGCACGGGGGGCCGTGGGCGTGCGGGGAGGAGGTGGGCGTGCGCGCGGGGACGCGGGCGTGCAGAGGGCTCTGGGGGTGCCCACGTGGGTGCCCCACGTCTCCATCTCCCCTCCCGGCTCTCGATGGCATTTTTGGTGCCTCCCCAGAGCCCGGGGTGGAGGCCGAAGCGAGCGGAGCAGCGCCTGGGGGGTGCGGAGGGGCAGGGGGCACCTTGGCGGAGCTCAGGGCGCTCGCACAAGCTCACCCCAGTGAACACCACGAGATTTGCCTCGCTGCATCGCTGCCGTGCTCCAAAACCTCCCTGAACGCAGCTCCGAAGCCTCCCCCATTTATTCCCCACCTGCTCATCCTCACGTGCCATTTCCCAGCCTCGTCCCTTACCTCCAGCGGCCCCCCTGGCGTTACTGCGGGGCCGTGGGGGTGCTCCCTGGCACCCAGGGCTCAGCCCCGGCTCGGTGTCCTCCCCGTGCCACGGCCACATCCAGGCTCCACTTCCCTTCGTGCAGATCCAACCTGGGCTCTCTCCAGCTCCATCCATCCCCTCGTGCGCTCGGTGGGGACGGTGACAGCAGAGCAGAACCGCTGGCACGTGGGGCGCAAGGAGTGGGCACATCCACGGAAAGTTTCTGGAAAGTTTGGGTGTTTTTTTTGCTTGAAGAGCATAGGGGAGAGCCCAGCGCGATCCCATGGCTCTGGGAGCTGGGGTTTGCAGGGAAACCAGCACCAAGAATTGGGATGAACCGGACCCATGGGCACCACGGGTCCCCCCTAGCAGTCGCTGGCTCCTTGTGACCCCACAACCTGCGGTGCCAGCCCCGTGTCCCCAGCAGGAACCCCCACACCCTCCCCGAATCTCGCCCCGAGGGGCGCCCCCTCTGGCACCCGCTGCTTGCAAGGGCAAAATATTGAAGATGGAGCCGGAGGAATTGAAGCGCCATAATTGAAGGAAAATTTGCAGCATGTTGAGGACAGAATAGGATCATTGTGCTCGCCTCCCACACCCCAGATGGATGCACGAGGACTGCAGACATCGCCGGAGCGTGCGGAGAAGAGGAGAGGAAGGGAGTGAGCTAGACCGGGACGTGTGTGAGCAGAAATTGAATTTTTATCAGTTTCTATGTAGATTGTGTTTATTCATCTGTCTCCTATCCATCTCCCCCTGCATCTCCCTATTTCTTTTACAAAATTACTTTCCTCCTTTGGCCTAATTTTGTTTGTACAGATAGCAGCTGCTTTCTTCCATTTCAGCATAAAAAATATCAGCGTAAATGAGGTGCTCTATATCCCCAGCAGAAGTTTTAGCAGCTACCCGGAGCACATTAGCCTTTCGCTCCTGCAGGGCCACATTTCCATCACAAAGAGCTGACTGCTCGCTGCCTGCCCTCGCAGAAAAGGCTCCTGCCACTCCTGCCACTCCTGCCACAGCGCGTGGCAGCGGTGCCACCTGCGTCCTTGCGCCCTCGTGGGCACAGGGGACGGGCGCTGGGGTCCTGCACGGCACCCATGGGTGCTGCTGCTCGCGCGGCTCCTTGCGGAGAGGCTCCGCTGATATTTATTAAGCACCCTGGCACCAGAGATGAACGGAGCCGGCGCTGTCCAGAATACCAATAAGGGCGTTTTTTTCCCCGAGCGCTATTCATAGCCCTACCTGTCACCCAGCCACCCCCCCTGAGCCACCGGCTGAGCCCTCAAGGTCACGGAGCAGCGCGTGGGCACCGGTCCTGGGTGAGCACGGGGACCCCAGCAGGTCCCCAGGGTGCTGCCGAGCACCGGGAGCCCTTTGGGGAGCAGCCACCAGGCGCAGGCTCCTTGGGGGGAGCACCCAGCTCAGCATCCCTGGGTCCTGGGGGGGAGCAGCTCGGGATGGAGCACCTCGAGGTGCCCACGGCCAGGCTGAGGATGATGCAGGGCAGACCCCAAGCCCCTGGGGACCCCCGGCTGGTCCCACAGAGCCGGAGAACCCTGCCCTAAACCCCGGACCAGGCAGTGACGGTGGGGGAGGACAGCCAGGCTCGCCAAGGGGGTGTTTCCCACGGAAAGGTCCCCGGGAAGACGTCCACGTAACGGGGAAGCCGCAGCTCGGCGCCTCCCTCCCCTCTGCTAGCGGGTGCCCGGGGAAACGGCGGCACTCGGCGCGGCGTTACCAAACCCAATGGTTAGGGAAAACGCGAGCGCGCAGCGTGATTGATTCCCCCCCAGGGCCCCCCATTAAAAATGTATGGAATTACTCATGCAAAGTCCCACTTACACACGGGTCTTTTGTGAGGACATTAAAATACCAGCGTTTGTCAGCCGCTTACCCGCTGCTCGCGGTTTGCTCCCATTTATTATCACGAACCCAGCCCGGCACTGGTTCTATTTTCGACTCCTCACACGTCACGCTGAGCTCCCGGGCTGCCACCACGGCTGGTGGCACCCCCGGCCCTGCAGCACCCCCCGTGGGTACAAACCCCTGGGGATGGGGAAGGGGAAAGGGATGGGGTCCCCCCGGACCCGGCTCCCCCCAGCCCTGCCTGGCCGGGTGGCAGCAGCCGGCTCGCTGCCGGAGAGCGGGGGGAAATGAGCACATTTCTCCCCACGGCGCGGGGAGGCGAAGCAGGGCGAGGAGCACAATATATTGTATTCATCAGGTTCTTCTCGCTGGGAGGAACGAGGCCTGAATCACATCACGCTTCCTCTCCGCGCTCAAAGCGTTCCAGCTTGTAATGCGCTTCCCTCCCTGCGTGAGCACCTCGCGGAGCCACAAAGACAAATTTCCCCAGGCTTCAGAAGCTGCTGAGAGCCACGGCTCCGTGCCTAAAACCCATCGCTCCTTTACCCAAACAGCCTCGGCTGCTGGCGGCCCCCTCCTCTCTCCGTCCCCTCCTCTCCCACCCCAAATTATGGTCCTGGCGTTCCCCCAGGCTCAGGGCTCGGTGCCAAGCCCAGGAGGGCAGCGCGGGGCTGGGGGCTCCATCCTCAGCCCCCCAAAAGCAGGGGGAGCACGGGGACAAAGAGGAGGGGATGGAAATGGGATGGAAAGAGCAGCATGGGGAGCTCGGGGTGGGCGACTCACAGCAGCACCCACGGGGAGGGCACCAGGGGTGCCCCCGGGACGCGGCGCGAGGCTGCTGGAAGAGGCCGGTGTCAACGCCCAGCAGCGACACGTTCCGCCACAGCGGCCGGTAATTGCATCTCCCAGAAAGCAATTACCACGTAAGCGACTCGGCGGCGCGGGAGACAAGCCATTATTTATTGGCCCGGCGTGGACGTGGAAGGTTCCCAGCACCGGCGGGACCCCGTGCCGGCCGCCGGGTCCCGAGCACGCGGTGGGGTCGGGGGGTGGATGCGGAGGGTGGCCAAGTGCCCCCAGGGCCGTGCAGCCCTTCTGCTGCTGCTGCACCCTAGGATATTTGTAGGACGTGGTCCCAGCGGGGTGTGGGGAGGGTCCCAGCACCCACCCGTTGCCGTGGGAGGGTGGCACCAGGGGTGGCCCCTGCGTGAAGGTAAAAGCGGTGCCGAGCCGAGGGGGAGAATCGTGGGGACTCAGAGCCCAGCCTGAAATTCTTCTCCCCTCCCAGCCAGGCTCCTTCCAGGGGTGCCTTTGTGATGATTTAGGTGGTTTTGAACAGAATCAGTTCCTGAACCACTTTGGCCCCAATAAGTGATCGTTTTCTACAGGAGGATGGTGGGTAAGGACCGAGGAAATCCCTCAGCACCGGCACCTCGCTGGTCCTGCAGCGGGGACGGGGCACGGGGGGCACGGCCAGGGTCCCCCCCCGGTGTGGGGCAGGCACCGAGCAGCACCGTACCCGAGACTCCTGCTGGAGATGTGGGAGGCGAAGCTTTCCTGCCGATGAAAATTCATCGTTTGGGGCTTGAGACGTCAAAGGCAAAAAAAAAAAAAAAAATCAACAAAACGCAGCAAAACGCGACACTTCCCTCCAGAAATGAAACAAGTTGCGGTGTCAGAGTGAGAGATGCCTCTTCCTTACGTCGGCTCCGAAAGACTTTGTTCATCCTGACTCTTGCAATCAGAGAAAATCAAAACATTTCACGGCAACAGCAATCCCCGTGCAGAAAACATCAACTTTCCCAAGCCCCAGCTCCCCGAAGGCTGCGTGCCCCGGTGTGCGCAGCCAGGCAGGAGGCTCGCCTGGTCTCCGAGTCTGCCTAAAATTAATCGGCAGGAGGAGAAGCCATCCTCATACCAATCCCATCCATCCTCATCCTCATCTCAAGCCATCCTCATCCATCCCATCCCCATCCCATCCTCATCCCAATCCTCATCCCAATCCATGACCCCATCTCATCCCCATCCCATCCCCATCCTGATCCCCATCCCCATCCCATCCCAATCCACGACCCCATCCCATCCCACCAACCCCATCCCCGACCCTATCCCAACCCCATCCCCACGTCCCCACTCCCCAGTCCAGCCCCATCCCCGCGGCAGGGGCAGGACCCCCCCGTGGCTCCCCCCAGCACCGGGGTCAGCCGGGCTCCGCCAGCTGCGGGGCTGGCTCCAAGCCGCGTGGCGAGGCAGCGCACGCAATTAGTAAATTAATTATCGAGCGGTAACGGAGATTTCATAGCTCGGAGCTGTCACATCAACAGTGTTTTGTCAACCGAGATGACGACTGGTAGAATTATTACTGCAGTGCTGGGACTGAAAACAGAGGAGAGAGAGACTTGCAGGGAGAGGGAAGGATAAAAATATAAAGGGAAGAGATAGGAAGGAACAAGATAAGTGGGTTTTGTTGCTAATGGAAGCTGGCACAGGGACAGAATCTCAACCATTATAAGACAACATACTACATTACTAGTGGCTCTGAATGATCCACTTAATTAACAACCAGCGTGGAACGAGCCCCTGCTCCGAAACCCAGCGTTGCTGTGAGCAGCACGCGCCGCTCCACGGGAAACCCCACGAGCACCGAGGTGCAGCCGCATCCCAAAACACGAGGCCAGGAGCTGGGGGCCACCTGGGAGGAGAGGGGATGCTCAGTGCCAACACAGGGAGACCCTCGTGCCCGGTGGCACCAGGAGGTGCCATGGCCACAGACAAGCAGCTATGGGCTGGCTCCATCCCATCCCATCCCATCCCATCCCATCCCATCCCATCCCATCCCATCCCATCCCATCCCATCCCATCCCATTCCCATTCCCATTCCCATCCCATCCCCATCCCCATCCCCATCCCCATCCTATTCCCATTCCCATCCCATCCCATCCCCATCCCCATCCCCATCCTATTCCCATCCCCATCCTATTCCCATCCCATCCCATCCCATCCCATCCCATCCCATCCCACCAGTGGAACCCACCCCGGCCGCAGCCAAGCCGTCGCGGTTTCGGCATCACCGGCATCGGCAGCCAAACAAGAGGCAGCAGAACGGCTTCTGTAAATTATTAATAACAACACTTTGCACTTCTAATAGCGCCTTTCAGCCAAGGATCCCGGCGCTTTACAAACACTAATTAATTAAGTACAGAAGACGGCTCGGCAGTGGGGAGATCGCACGTCCCCGGCTGCTTGCTCCCTTGGCAGGAGCCGGCACGGCACAGGATCAGCCCCTCGCACCAAAGCACCCACTGCACCCACAGCACCCGGGCAGCTCCTCGACCCACACGGACCCTCAGGGTCTCAGGGGACCGGGTGCTGAGGTGCTGAGGGGCTGCAGGGATGGACCCGATGGGGACCCCACAAGGGTCCCCGTCCCCTCCTGCCACCCCAGGCGTGATTCTGCCCGTGCGCCCGGAGCCCGCGTCAGTGCCAGGACGCGATTTCCCTTCCCCACCCGTTTCCTCTTCACTTCCCAGGGCCAGATTTAAGCTGCGTATCCAATGCCATATAAAAATAACACCCCTGCCCTCCCACTTGGGAAATCGATTCCTTCGCTTCCCACCCGCTCGGGCTTTAAATATCGCCGTGGAAATGCAGCCTGCGCCGTCTGCCAGCCCCAGCCTGCCGGGGGAGCCGGGCAGGGCCGAGGGGGCATCAGGGCTGAGCTCGCCTTGATGCTCATGGGATGGGGAGGGGGACGCAGCTCAGGTCCCCCAGGTCCCCGCGATGCCCTGCTGCTCCCCAGCTGGTGCTTGGTGCACAGGGTGCGGGTTGTGCCTGGAGGCTGCTCCCAAAAATCAAGCTGGTGTCCCCCTGGAAGCTGGGCACCTGACGGGGCAGTGGGCTCCATCCCTTAACCAAGGGGGCTTCCCAGGCTGGGTCTGGCCCCCCCAGCCCATCCCTGGAGCCTCCAAGGGGTGCAGCACCCGGCACGGGCACTGCTCACCGGGACGGGGGGCACAGCTCGGGCATCACGACCCCACAGCTGTGAGCCCCCGTGGGGCATGGGCGCACCTCGGCACCGGCTGGGGACAGGGTGAGGAGCAGCAGGGGGGCAGCAACCAGAGCCCCCCAGCCAGAAATTGGAAGTGCCGGCTGCTTCCAGCATGGCAGCAGCCACATTTTGTAATTTCTGATGGGAAGGAAGGAACAAGGATGGATTTGAAGTCCCTGACAGGCTCCCCGAGGGAGCTCTGCCAGCTCCTCCAAGTCTTTAATTCCCTCCCCGTCTACGGCTGCAGCGGGGCCCGGTGACGGCGCTCCCGAAATATCCCCCCCCCCCCCCCCCGACCAGAGGGATCGGCTCGGGGCCGGGGAGCTCTCCATCAGCTCCACGGTGCTGTGCCTGCTCCCAGCAAGGGGAAGGTGGCACTGGGACAGCTCCCTCGGTGGGATGGGGCACGGCGGTGCCATGGCCAGGGCCATCTGGAGGGAGCGCATACCACTCGCCAGGTTTGGGCCAGAAACCAGGGTTTTTAGGAGCTTTTCGGGAGGTTCCGCAGCAGTGCAGGGCACCCAGCGGTCCTGCTGAAACGGAGGAGGCGCCGGGGCAAGCAGGGAGCATTTGCATATTCAAGCGCCTTAATGCTATTTTGGCACCTCCTCGGCTATTTTTATCGTGGCAGAAACACAACAGGAGGACAAGGCCAGAGAAAGGGCAAGGAACGAGCCCGAAATGTGGGGCAGAGGCAAAAATAAAACCCAGGCTGGGCACAGCATCCAGGAGGAGCAGAGACGGGGCTGCGGATGGGCACGAGCTGGAGGCTGATGGAAAATCCCAGACCCCCCCAGAGCCCCCTGCACCACCAGCACCCCTAAAACCCCTCGGGATGAGGTTGGAGCCAGGGCTGCCCCCGACATCCAGCCCCAATCACCAGGGCCCCAAGGAGCAGAGGCACCATCCTTGCCCTGAAACCCCTCCGATGAAGGGAACATCCCCCAAAAATGCTCTTTCCCCCCTCGCCACCCACACGGGGTGCACCTCGTGCAGGGCACAGCCGGCACCCCAAAGCCTCCGGCTGGGAGCTGCCGCGGCGCTAACGAGATTAAAGTGGGTGTGAGAGGCAACTCAGTTCCGTACACAAAGGATTGATCCGAGGGGGTTTCAACGGGAGAAATTTGCCCAAATTGGTGTAATTCGAACATCTGCTCTTTTGGTGCCATCGTCAAGTTTGTGCGAAATTCCTGCGCTTGCAGAGGGTGGCAGCGGGGGCAGACCTCAGCCCCTCTCCCCACACCCATGGGCAGGAGGAAACAGTTGCTCACCCCATAGCCCCCAGCCCCAGCAGGAGCCCCCCAGCCCCTCTGCTCGTGTCCCAGAAGAGCCTCGTGGTGATGGCTTAATGGCCAGGTGGCCTGCTGGTAATTAACTAATTGGTGCTCCTGCGCACCGCCTGGAAAACAGCCACAGCCCCTGGGGACAAGGGGACAAGGGGACACAACCCATGGGCACTGAGAGAGGGGACAGTCCCCAGAGCTGAGCACTCCCCCCTCCGCCTGGCTGGAGACCCCCAGGTCCCATTCCAGGGGCTTTTTTTGGGGTGAGGGTGCCCCCCCCATAGCCGGAGGGGACAGCCCGGGGCTGGCTCTGCAGCATCCTCACCCGTTGCCAGGACGACGGGATGCGATGGAGCGGCTCCCTCGGGTGGCTGCAGGTGCAGGGAGAAGTTGGGGTGTGTTTTTTGGGGAGGGGGGATGCCCCCAAATTTTAGCAGCCCCCAGCCTGGGGTCCGCATCAACCCCTTGGAGAGCCCCCGAGGGCCACCTGCACCGTGCCAAGCGCAGCCTGGGGGGGTCCCAAAAAGATGGGGACGCGGCCCCACGGCACGGGGCGCTGCGTGGAAATCAGGACCCTAAAAAATGTTTGGGGAGCCCGCAGGGAACAACCCCAGCTCCCCAGGGAAGGGGCACGGCACGGCCCCAAGGCCACAGCACCGCTGCCCCATCCCGATACCACTGCCCCCCTGCAGATACGGGGAGGGGATAGGGGCAAGAGGAGGGAGCTCGGGGTGCCCCACAGCACCCCACAGCACCCCACGGCACCCCACGGCACCCCAGGAGGAGCAGCTCGCAGCGCCCTGGGGCTGTGGAGCAGCAGTGAAGGTGCAGCTTCGTTTCTTCGCTCGTGGTGCCATGGCAACCTTTCCCACTTGGTTTAATTACGGGCGGTTGCTGCCTTTGCAAGGGGGGGGGCTGCTTGTTCCCTGCTCCCCAGAGCCAGGACGGGAGCGCACGGGAACCCGCGGGCTGCTCCGGGGCTGGTTCGCCCTGGCAGAGCTGCCACCAAGCCAATATCCCACCCGTGGCCACTCACCCCACACGTGGGCACGGCGTCCAGCTGGACACGGAGCCAGCAGAGCCCCTCGTTAGTGATCACCAACAATTATCCTCCCACGGTGCCCGACCTCGGCCCCAAATCGAGCTGAGAGATGGGCACACCGAGCCTGGCTGGCAGACCTGACATCCACGGCCGGCACAGCCCCAGGGGACCCCCAGGACAAGGGGGGCACGGGGATGAATGGGGCTGGGGGTTTGGGGACCCCTGGGGCAGCCGGGAGCGAGGAGCAGCTCTGGGGGAACCCTGGCTTGATGCAATTAGGAACAGGAGGGAAGGGAGGTGTAAATGAGCCCTTCTGAAGCCGGGCAGCGAGTGGGAGGAAACACCTGAACTGAGCCCGCAGCAGCGAGCGCCGGGCTCCAGAGGTCACCTCTGGGCAGGATTTTTAATTTCACACAGGAGTTTTGTTCATTTGTTAATTATTTTCAGATGAAAAGGGAGATATTCCTGGAGCGGGTTAGGAAAGGGCTAAAGCAACATTTGAATTTCAAAGGCAAGCTGTTTGCAATGAAAACAGGAGAGGAGAGGGGAAAAATAACTCCAGGGGCAGAGAAGGGGCTGCCGAGGGTCCCCGGCCTTTTGGGGGGGCAGCGAGCGGCACGGGGCCAGCACCCAGCTCTGTGCCCACCCAGCCTGGGCCTTCCTGCACGTTTACCCCATTAAAAACCCAAATTTGGGCAGCACGAAGCTTGGCACTGCACGAGAGGAGATTTCCATCGGAAAATTGATGGAGAGGGGTCAGTGCCTGGAGATCCATGGGGGAGCGTCGGGGAGGTGGTGGCACATGGGGCAAGTGGGGACACTGGGGGAGGAGGGAGGTGTCCCAGGGCTGGGGGCATTGTCCCGGGGGAGCTGGTGCCCCACCACCCCGTGCCTCAGTTTCCCCTTGCCCAGGGCACGAGGGGCTGGGGATGGTCGGGGAGGAGCGAGATCGGAGCCAGGACCCGCCGTGGTGCCTCTGCTGCTCTTATCTCCCGCAGGAGCTACCAGGGGATTTTGCTCTGAGCTCCTTTGCCACGGTTCTGCGCTGCCAAAGCCAGGGAAAGCCCGGATCCACCAGCCCTGAGCCCGTTCTCAGCTCCTAAAACCGAGCGCGATTCCGCCTAATGCAGGATGAAACCACGGCAGCTCCACCACCAGCTGCGGTGCAGGGGAGAGCGGCTCGTGGAAAGGGGCTGGGGGTGAAAGGGGGGAGCAGGGGCCAGGCAGGGACGTGCCCACGCTGGGACGTGCCCACAGAGCCCAGCACATCCCAGTCGCAGCCCTCCTGGGGCTGGGACCATGCCAGGAAGGCGTCGAGGCCGTGCGGTGCGCACGGGGCCGCGGTGGGAGCCTGGAGAGGTTCCTCCGAGCGCTCCCACCCAGCGCCATCACATCCCAGCGCCTCCATCCCATGCTGAGTTATCAGTTCCCTGGGCTCCTGCTAATGAGCAATTAAGGGATGGGTTATTAATAAAGCCAAGCTGCCCAAACCCAGCAGCTCGGTGAGGCCGGCTGCGCAGGGAATCCGCACGGCCCAGCTTCGGGATCACCGCATGGGGCTGGAGAGGGACCTGGAGGTGTCCGAGCCCCAAGGACGGAGCCAAAGCAGCAGAGACACCCCTGGAGACCCCCGGCCACCCCTTGTCACCCCTTGTCACCACCCTGCCAGCCTCCCCGGCTGCACCTGCACCGCTCCTCAGCACCGCAGCACCCGCGCCATGCGCCGGAGCGCTCGGTATTTTGTGTGTCTGCAAGAAAATACCAAGTGGAGTTTGCAAAGATTAGGCACATTTAAATGCAAATTGTGTTATTTCTGTCTTGAAAAGTGTCATTAATACATTTTCTGCAATTTGGAGAAATCAGCGGCAATTATTTTTTTCGAAACGAACCATTAGCCAACTTTCATTTGAAGGGGGGGGGGGAAATATCAAGAAAATCATTATATGACTGACACATTTCCTCCCAGGTCTTAGAGCTGCTGAGATGCTTTCTTGTACCGAGAATAATTACCGGGGAAAGGAACTAAAAAGTGCTTCCAGGAGACGGATGTGCGCGAGGCAAAGCACCTTGCCCTCCGCCCGCTCCCCGCACTGCCCTCACTGCGCTTCACGGTGCTTAAAGCCAAGCACGTGCTGGCCACCGAGAAGGAGGAGAAACCACTGAAAAGGAGGAGAAACCGCTGAAAAGGAGGAAAAATCCCTGAAAAGGAGGAAGAGGCTGGGCAGGGGCTGCAGGCACAGCTGCTCCCCGCAGCGCTGGCACCCGGCTGCCTGTGAACCTGCTTCGCCCGCAGCCGCTCGGCGAGATCCCTCTGCTGCTAAATGAAAGGGAACAGGGGGGGGGAAGAAAAGATGATCTGTGCCGAGATTGAAAGAGAAAGGGAGAAAAAAAAAATAAAGGGCACCTGATCTTATTTGATTCATCGGAGTGAAAGTGAAGAGCAAATTTACATAACACTGCAAGTGCTCATTAAGCGCTGCTAAATGGCAGCCCGGCACCCATCAGGCGCTCTGCAGGCTCCTGGCGCTCTGCAGGGCCCTGCCACCGAGGCTCCAGCACAGCCGCCCCCGCTGCCTGGAGGGGCCCTGGGCAGCAGAAACCCCCCCTGGGTCTGGGGCTGAGCCCCCCAGTGCTGTGCCCACATGCCCAGGGCCCCTGTGTGGGGAGGGATGCGGGTGCCACCCCCAGCTCCCCATCCGTGAGCATGCTGTTGAGGGCAGGGGTGCCCAAACTCAACACCCCCACGTCTCGTTTTCTCCCCATCTCCTCTGCAAATCCCCTCCTGGGCAAGGCGGGTGCATCGGGGCCGGTAGATTGATCCCTTTCTCCCCAAAAAGAAGAGACAAGGTTGGAGCCACCGAGCTCCTCCCGAAAACCACAGCTCCCGGTGGCCGCACGGTTACAGCTCTTCCTCCAGGAGCACCCCCAAGCTGCCTCCGTGTGCCCTCGGCCTCCCAGGCACGGGAGGGCTTCCTTGGGGCCAGACGGTGCCCACGAGCGTCCTGGGGTCGGGCAGGGCTCCCACAAGGGCCCCGACCCCCGGAGCCATCCCTGCTCCCCATGATTCCTCCCCGGTGCTCTGCGAGGGATGCGGCTCCCGGCGCAAGCGGAGCCCGGCGCGCGGCTGCTTAAGCCTCGTAAATTATGTTTGGGTTACCTGCTGAATGCTTAATCAAAATAGCGTATTTCACCCGACGGCTTGACAGATTTCCTCTCTGCTTTTAGTAGCTTTTTTCATGTCCTCTTTTGCTCTGATATGGATCCAATATCTCCTGCAGCGTCGAAGGCCATAAAGATAAAAAATGGGGTAATTGTGGCAGAAGTTTATTGGTGGGAAAATACACGCACACAAACCAGCCCTGACAACTATTTTTTGGGCAGATCTGCTGCACGGAGAGACCCTCGGGCATGAATCACCTCATCCCCCGCCCGCCGCCGTGCGATGGGAACCGCTGCTGCTGGCACTCGCAGCCGCGCGAAGGCAGCTGCCGGCTCCGAAGGCGGCTCCACGCCTCGAATTTTACAAGATCTCAGATGGAAAATCCACGCAGACGATGACGGGGATGGAGACGGCAGGGAAGAACCGGCGGCCGCGCTCGCCCCCCCTGCTGCAGCGGGGCCGGTGGCTCCTGTGGGATGGGGTGGCCGGGATGGGGAAGCGCAGCCTGGGGGGTGCCCGGGTGGCAGCAGCTGGCAGAGCCCCCGGGCTGGAAAATGCTCAGAGCAAACCTCTCACTAACCAGGGCATGAAACCTGGAGGAGAAGGAGCAGAGGAGCGCTTCGGGCTGCGCTCCCCACCACCGAACATCCCTGGTCCTATAACGCAGGGGCGAGGTCGGGTTTGGCGCATCCCAGGGGAAAACGCAGCGACTGCAACCAGGCACCGGCCGGGCTCACTCCCACCGGATTTAGAGGATTCCCTCCCACCGATTTCGGAGGATTTTGGCTTCTCTCAGGCACGCAGCCCCTCACCAGGATGGGCAGCAGGGCTGAGCCTTCGCTCCACGCAGCCTGGCGGCACCGCTCCCGGCGTCCCCCTGCCCACGCCGCCGGTGCGCAGGAGGCGTCCTCGGCAGCCAGCAGCATCCCGGGCTGGGGCCGGCTGCTGCCGAGCACGACGCGCTCGCTGCACTTCATGCATCACCGAGCGAGCTGCCAGCGAAGCCCCGGTGCCCGGCTCTTCATCGCCGCGATGATGCATGAGTCAGAAATAGCCCAGCGCGGCTCCGCAGGCGGCGGGAGGTAACCACAGAGCAGCAGGAGGAACTGGAGGCTGATTTATAAACAGCAGATTTGTTACGTCCGACTCATTGATGGGAAATGGAGAGAAAGCCCCGAGATGGGCTCTTCAGAGAGCCGCTTCCTGGCTACGGCTCTGCTTTAAGGCACAGTTCAAATAACAGCCCAATAAATTAAGGGCCACGAGGAAGCCGCGGAGCCGCTCAGCACCGCAGCCCGATCCTTCCCCATCATCATTCCGGGGAGGGCACGGACACAGCACGGCACTCTCGGGCACACTCGCAGGGACACAAGCGAGCAGCCCCGACCTCGGGGGCACCACCGGCTCTCCCCAGCCATCGTTCACCCAAGGCCAAGCCCCAACAACCAAGCCAGGACCTCTCTGGGCACCCAGGGGGGCCCCTCTCCTGCCAGCCCTGCCCCTCTGCAGCTCCCCAAGCTCCTCTCCTACCTCACATCAGCTTCGTGCCCACCCCAGGCCCCAATTCCCTCTCCTGTGGTCCCCTCCGCTCCTCCTCTCGATGCCCCAGGAGCTGCCCACAGCCGGCACCGAGCCCGGGGCTCCGCGAGCGGCGCCACCGATAAGGTATGCTGCTAATTAAGCCACAATGGAATACAGCTACATCGCAATTAAAAGACAATTAGGTGCGCAAGCTAGCATGCCGGAGCAATAAATACATTTGGCAGAGAAACAAATGCCCTCTCCCTCCTGTCCTGGCCGGGGGCCGCAGGGGGGGCCGTGGCTTTTCCAGGTGCTGCCCCCGTGTCCCAGTAAAAACCTCTCGTGGTGGGGAGGCCGACGGCAGGGGCAAACCCGGAGGGACAATCATCATCATCATCATCATCATCATCATCACCAGCAGCAGCCCGGCACGAAGCCTTTTGGAGCACAAAGGCAAAAGGATCCTGGGGAGAGGCGCAGGGTCAGACGGTGCCTGGAACACCCCCCCACCTCCAGCACCCCCCTCCAGCACCCTCTCACCCAGTTCTGCCTCCAAAAAGCCCCCTGGGTGCCGGCACGGCCCCAGCTGCCCCCACCTCC